AATTCCTGGCTGGGAGGGTGGGGAGGCCCTGGCACAGGTTGCCCAGAGAAGCTGGGGCTGCTTGTGCTCATTCCCATGTATCTCCGCGTTCTTCCCTCATTCCCACATATCTCCATGCTCTTCCCTCATTCCCATGTTTTTGCGTGCTCTTCCCTCATTCCCATGTTTTTTTGTGCTCTTCCCTCATTCCCATGTTTCTCCATGATCTTCCCTCATTCCTGTGTTTCTCCATGCTTTTCCCTCATTCTCACATTTCTTGTTGCTCTTCTCTCATTACCACATTTCTCCATGCTTTTCCCTCATTCCCAGATTTTTCCATGCTTTTTCCATGCTTTTTCCTCATTCCCATGTTTCTCCATGCTCTTCCCTCATTCCCATGTTTCTCCCTGCTTTTCCCTCATTCCCATGCTTCTCCCTGCTTTTCCCTCATTCCCATGCTTCTCCATGCTCTTCCCTCATTCCCATGCTTCTCCATGCTCTTCCCTCATTCCCATGTTTTTCCATGCTCTTCCCTCATTCCCACATTTCTCCATGCTCTTCCCTCATTCCCATGTTTCTCCATATGTTTCCTTGGTGGTGGAGGCAAACCTTTGGAAGGAAGGGATTATTTGGATGTACAGGTATTCTCCTCTGTGGCAGCTTTATTTCAAAGAAGTGAGTGAGCACGGAGTGGAATCTCAGCCAACACTTCCCAAATCCACTCTTTGCTTCCTTCAGGATGTCAGGATGTTTCTGCAAACGCTTCCCAGATCCGTTCTTTGGGATTCTGGGATTTTTCTCCTCGGAGGTTCCACACAGCTCGTGATGGTGCTTTGCAGGGAAGGTTGTGATCACTGTCTGTCTCCACAGGCTTTATTCCTGGGATTAGTACAGTCAGAAAGTCAGGTTGTAGTGTGCACATCCAAGCTTCAGCCTTCCCAAATCCCAAAGGAATTGCATGCGTGGAAAGTGCTGAGTGAGTTTCACCTCAGATCCTTTCCAGCCACCATAGATGAGGATTTGTTCCAGAACTGTGTTAAACAGTGTTTTATTCCCTTTTTTTCTTGTTCTTCATCTCCTTTAACTTCCAGTTGTGCCTGTTGGGTTGCTCCCAACTCCTTATTCCCTGTCTTCTGGGACATAGCAGCAGTTGGATCTAAGCCCGTGCTGGTCCTGCCACAGTGTGGGAGGTTCAGCTCTGAGGCTTATTTTCCCTTTTTACACTTCCATGGACTCCTGGATTAAAGAAAAAACCCACTCTGTTGACCTTGGCAGGCTGGACAGGGACAGCCCAGATCTGGAATTCTTAGAACTGCTCCCAAAATTACGCTGCTTGTCATTATTAGAGGAATTACTGCAGCACTTTCACTTCACCCCCGAGGAGCGGGCAGTGTTTGATGCCCCAAATTATGCCCCTGCTTTTCATGGCATCATTTGGGCAGCAAAGCTCTCCATATATTTCCTTTTCAAGAGCTAAGAAACAGGGAGCAGCACCGGTGCCCTTATTTCATCTACTGCAGTAAGGAGCTGAA